CGCCGCAGGTGCTCGGCCGGAAACTTCTGGCGGACATGGTGGAAGCCCTGATCGGAGTGCACCACGTGGAGGGCGGTCCCGCGGCCGCGGAGGACTTCATGCGCTACATGGGGATTCCGGTGGACCTTCCCCCGGGGAATATCACCGAGAGCCCGCCCTACCAGGGGCTGCTGGACGTGCGCGCGCGCGCGCCGCCGGAGGCGACGGCGGTCGAGGCGCGCCGCGCGGGGCTGGAAAACCTAGAGGAGACCATCGGATACAGGTGGGCAGTTAAACAATACTTAGGTTTTGTTGGTCCTGTTACCAGGTGTCTGTGTTGCGACTCTTGGTGCGTGGTTGCAGTTGGACGGACGGCGAAGGAGCGACGCTTCGTGAGCATTCAGAAACCACAATAGGAGGATCGAAAAGCGTTCTTATGTTTCTCACAGTTGCCGGTCTAATAGTAACGACAGACTTTGGCGCAGAGTTCGACGAACGACGCTCTGGCCAACAGCTGCAAATACTTTGCTGTGAGGAGATGAGGACATATCCTATCTCATGCCGCGCAACCACTACAACCACTTTCTTCGTGCTGGCAACCAACATTTGAAAGTGCTTCTGTGGAATGGTGTAAGAGAGCAGTGCGCTCGTCCCTCTCAGGTTCAAGCGCATGTCGCTGCTGCTGGAGGCGATGACCCACCCGTCGTACATGGAGAGCAGCCACGTGGCGTGCTACCAGCGCCTCGAGTTCCTGGGCGACGCCCTCATCGACTGGATCATCACGCGCCACTTCTTCGACGAGCACAAGGGTAAGGCCTGAGAACGTTACGGGCCTAACTCTTTCGGGCGGCCCTTTCTATCTTTTGGAAGGCCGATTGCGCCCTGCAACGTGACTGTATTCAGTCTCTTCTTCCTACCGACGTGCAATCTGCCTCCATGAAACTTGACAATGACTCCCACAATGCGTCCAGAATAAACATGTTTGCCGGTTGTTAGCTGGATAACCTTTCCGTCGTTTGATGACGGCTCTGGCTCCACGCCACTTCCGGCTACTGGAGACCAAGTTTCCCTGCGCGCAATGAAACATACTTACCCCGGCCCGTCAGTCAAAGTCTTTTCGCGAAAAGTCTTGCCGCAGAAAGAAACCTCTTGCCTGACGTCACCCGCAGACATCAGCCCCGGCGTGCTGACGTACCTGCGGCAGGCGGCCGTGAACAACGAGCGCTTTGCACGGCTGTGCCTGCGCTTCGGCTTCCAGCACCACTTACGTCACGGCTCCTCCGACCTGCTGCGCCACGTCACCGAGTTCGCGCGTGTCGCGGCCGCGGAGCGCGACCCCGACCTCGGCAGCGCCGCCTTCGGCATCGCCATCGTGCACGCGCCCAAGGTGGGCGCGCGGGCGCGCCGCGCGCGTTGCTAGTTGTTGGGGGCCGCGTTGATAGATTGTGATACTAAAGGTTCGCCGGGAGCTGATGTGCTTCCAGATTGAATCTTTTGTTTTGTTGCGAAACACAAGATTCCCTAGTCCCTTGTTGATCCAATCCTTACTTTGTTGGCCGCAGCCTTGGAAAGGATGTAGCTAAGAAAACCCAACGATCGTGAGAAAGTTCGGGGCACTTGGCTCGTGAGATTCCGGATAATTGACGGCGCAGATGACAGCCGAAACGCTTCAATTGAGCGTGGCTCACTCCGATTGTGTGGACTTCAAAGGGCACACGGTTCTCGTCAATTGCTTGGTGACTGGCCATCCTTCAGCAAGGTCCTCTTTTCCCGTAAAGATCCCGTCAACCGCGTCTGCATCAAAGCTGAACGATCTGCCCATTCTTGCAGGTTTTGGGTGACCTTGTCGAGTCCGTGGCTGCCGCCGTTCTCCTCGATTCGGAGCTCGACCATGACCAAGTCTGGAAGGTGAGGCTGCTTCCACGGAGCTTTTGATAGTGCCCACCAGCCTGGTCTGCTGACGCTTTGGTTCTGTGCTTCAAGAGGTTGACACCAACTGAATTATAACCAGTTTTGAGCACCAATAGATAGAGCGTTTGTACAGCGGCCGCCGCAGTTCTCAGTGGCGTCCTCTGCCGCAAAGAGTTTGCGGAGCCACCAAACGTTTTCTGATGGGATGAGCACGAACCTTTCGCGTCTACTCAAATTTTGGAAGCCTTTCGGCTCAAAGTCATTCCCGCACAGCGCAGGAGCCGCCTCGCGCGAAGCTTACGAACTCTATCCAAGTGAACATGCAAAATTCGGATGCTATTGATCAGCACGTCTCTTTTGACGTCACTCTTCCCCGCTCCTGACGTCACCTCCTCGTCCCCGGCAGGTCTTCCGCCGGCTGATGCAGCCGATCGTGACCCCGGAGACGCTGCGCGTGCACCCTGTGCGCGAGCTCCAGGAGCGCGCGCAGCGGCGCAGCCTGGACATCGATTACGCGAGCGCCAAAGTGGGCACCATGTTCCGGGTGGACATCTCGCTGGACGGAGAGCGGGTCGCCAGCGGAACCGGAATGCGCGTCGACGCCGCGCGCAAGGTCGCCGCCAAAGAGGTAGGTGGGGTCTGATTCTTTTGGGGGGTTGAGGCGAGGCTGAGAAGAGGAAAAAACCGACACCGAGAACTGTCTTGCCGGTAAAGATGTACTCTGCTTTGACTTGTTCGATTGGTTGCAAAGAGGTCAGTTTGTTGGACGCTGAAAAGGGAAGCCTTTTTCATGAGGACGTCAACAAAAAGAGAGATGCGGTGGCAAACAGACACTTACAATTTCTCAGTTTCTGATTAGTGCCACACCGTTGATCAGTGCATCCGGCAACAACAGCGACATTGGTCTCAGACGTAAGGGATACCGCGGGCTTTTGGGAGACGGAACAGCGTGACGTTCCTGATCGAAATGCCGGATAACGTTCTTCTCACTTCAACTCAAAAGAAGCCAACGGAGTGGACTCTTCGTCCACTCATAAGTCGCTCACAGGACGTCAGACAACACGAAGGACGAAGTTGACAAGTCCTTCGTCCATCATACGTCCAACAACCGTCACTTTCTGAAAGTATGTCTCCGTCTGTTCCGCAGGCCCTGGACTATTTGCAATCGGTGGAGGAAGCCGAAGTGCGCGAGGGCCGCGCGCTCCCGGACCTGAGCCCCGAGGAGCGCAAGCGGCGGCGCGGCGCGATCCGGCTCAAGCTGCGCGAGGAGTGCATCAAGCGCGGCTGGCCGCGGCCGCGCTACTTCGAGGTCGTCAAGGAGGGGGCCGCGCCGTCGTTCAGGTAAGTCGAGCAATATCCACTTGCCCGCCCTTTGTAAAGCTTATGTGAAGGAGATTGCGAACCCCCGGATGGGCCTCATAGCTGATGATACGGCTTACTCTTTCAGCTTCGAAACCCTGAGCAAGTTGTCCGAAGTCTCCTAACCTTTCTGATGTTGACCTTTTCGATGAATAAATCTTTTGCTGAACCGCACTTGTCGGCGAATTGGTACCATAAGCTAGTTTGATGCTGGAAATTGTCTTCTTCACATGCGAGGTCCGTATCTTAGTATAGATGCATTTGACTTTCGAACCGCTCCAGTCTTTGCGGCCAAGCACATGGCCTCTCAAGGATGTTTTGGCTGACGCACCGCTTACGTCACTCTCTGCCAGGTACGGCTACGAGGCGCGTGTCATCTTCGAGGAGCAGACCGTGGCATGTGCCGCTGGGGAAGTGCTGCCATCGCTGAAGCGCGCCAAGCAGAGTGCCGCACTGCTGTTACTGCAAAAGCTCCGCGAGGAGAGCGTCGCCGTGCAGAATGTGTAATAAGAAGTCGGCTCATAGAAGCCACTCTGTATGTAGATATGTTTCCTGGCTTAAGCCTTGATTGGAGGATGGTCAAAAGTAGGTTAAGGTTTGGCTGGTTGCACTGATCAGTGTGGTCAAGGAAAAGAATCTCCTAGCCTATGTGTAGGCCTGTAACCTGCAATTTCGAAGTGGCTGCGCTATCCAGTATGTGAAGGACGGCTATGGATGTGAATAGAATGGTGCGTTCGACGTTCAAACCCTTGATTGGATGGAGGAATACGTTGAAGGAGATGTGTATCGTAGGGAAGGTTGATCGGGTACAAACGCTTGCATAAAACGCAAGTAGCATAAGGAGTTCAGGCGTGCGAATTGTGGAAGTCGAGTCAAGCTAGGGACTTTCTCACTTCCAAGATAGACATCGAGTTCGGTTGCTGGATAGATATCAACAGCTTACCGACATGATGAGATTTGGAAATGCGAGCCAAGACAAACATGCTCTTGTACATATAAGGAAAGTCTTTTAAGGTCGGCGGCGAAAGAGAAAGAATCCTCCTCCGCATCTGCATATTGGCGCACCAGCCATGATACTGGTACTTTTCAGTCAGCTTGGCCATCGAGGTTGTGATTCATGCCGCCGCGCGTAAGTTTGGGCTATATTGTTGGGCCATCTCGATTCTTCATTTGTGAAATGACGTGTTTCTATTGACACGAAGTGTCAGTTGCCGCAAACGTAGGTATCTTTTAATCAGCCTGCATTTTGCACTTCGCGAACTTGCTACATCCGTTGTATTGAAATGACAATTTCCGAACAAGCGGATGTACAGATCGTATTTAACTCATGCGTGACCGGTAGTGTCGATCGACAGGAACCGTACCGGTACGTTAGAACGACTAGGATCATAGCGTATCGGGATACCCCAGGCCCGGCGCCGCCCGGGCCGCGGCCCCGGTAGGTTCAGATCTTTGCACGAGTCTGACGCTTTAATCCCTTGCATGTCGCACGCTATTGGTAGACTACGATTCGGTGTGTGCCACCATGCAAGATTCAAAGATTCGGTCTGTGAACATCTGCCACTTCGAAGTCGAAACAGCGTGAAACTCAGACACGTGGCGGGTGCTGTCCCCCAGCTGGCGTGAATCTCGTTCGCACTGCGAAGGCCCGAGAAGCTTCCACGTAGGCGTCTGGAAGCCGGTGATTGGGCGAGCTGGGATTCGCCGCTTTCCGACGGGGCGAAGCCTTAGGTCACACCTCTAAGGGCGCCTTCCAAGAAGCCCAGTAGATACTGCCTTAGACTCGTGAATGCTCTACAACTGATTTCAGTCTCTGAAGAGCCTAAATTGGGTAGCTCTGGGGCACTGGGCAGGAAGATATCGACTCTTGAGTCTCGATCACAATGCATTGAACAAAATTCGTTGGCCATAAAGTAGGAAGGTCCTCCATCTTCGAGACCATTTCGTAAACCAAAATTCCAGCTTTCAAAGTTTCTTGCTTCAGCAAACAAGGAGCTTACAACTAAGTTGTTGCGCCAGCAACTGTCCTTGATTTTCTACTACCAACCAACCGTTCATCACAAGCGATTGTCGCGTGCACCACTAAAGAGAGAGGCTTTGCATTTCAGACCAGCTTCAGACTTCTCCGATGGGACTTGCCAGCAAATTGCAGAAGCCTGCTGGGGGGCCTGCCGGGGCGCCACCTGGCGCTCCGGGGGGCTTCACTCCATCTGCGCCTCCGGCCGCCCCTCAGCAGCAGCAGCAATACGGTGCTCCACCCAGCTCGGGGGGGCCGACCCAAGCGTATCCTGCTCCCGGCTATGGTGCTCAGCCCGGGCAGCATGGAGGCATGCAGGGTGCCAACATGCAAGGAAACCAGAGTGGTTACGGACAGCCAGGAGGCCAGTTTGGACAACAGGGTAGCCAGTTTGGACAGCAAGGCGGCCAGTCTGGTCAGCAAGGCGGCCAATTCGGTCAGCAAGGCGGCCAGTTCGGTCAGCAGGGAAACCAGTTTGGACAGCAGAATGGTCAGTTTGGACAGCAGGGGAACCAGCAGGGCGGCCAGTTTGGTCAGCAGGGGGGACAGCAGGGGGGCCAGTTCGGCCAACAGGGTGGCCAGTATGGGCAGCAGGGTAAGTATGGGGGTTATGGAGGCTCTCAGGCTGCTCAATTCTTGCAGCAGCATGGCCAGCCGCCACCGTACTTTCAAGGCTATAACCAGACTCAAGGCCAGTTCCTGCAGCAGTACGGTCAGCCGCCACAGTACGGCTCCCAGGGTTACAATCAGTTCGGTCAGCCGCAGCAGTACTCTCATGCTTACAATCAAGGTCAAGGCCAGAACCAGATGGGTGTACCTCAGTTGCAAGGTTAGCTACATTGGTTCTGGCCTAGCTCTTCCACGATCGAGCTCGAATTTGCGAGTGTTCCATTTCGAGTCATCCAAGAAGATTCTGAAACGAGTTCTCAGCAATCTTCTTACTTGCTGCATTAAAACCGGGTCTTGATTGTGGTTTTGTTCAAAAGTTTGCTACTGAAGGCTATATTTTACGAATTGATCTTTTTCTGATGGATGTCTAAATGTAGTCAGCTTACCTGCCTGTAACGGTTTACCCCTCGAAATAAGCATTCAGTTTGCATTTTCCGCTGCATGCAGTTCTTCTCCCACCATTTCACATTGGCTCGCGTCGTCAAAAAGCCACCACCCTTGATCATCTTTATGTTTGGCAGATGATCTTGCTCGTGTGTGAAGTGGTGTAACAAGCATAAAGAGCAGGCAATTTGATGAGATCCGGAGGAAACATGAGTGTTACGTTTTGTTTACCAATTGCTCTTTACCAGAGTTGAGCGCGCCTTATAAACCTAAAGCTCTGTCGTTTGCATGCAGGCCAAGCTCAGGGCCAAAACCAGGGCCAAAACCAGGGCATTCTGGCCAAGTTGCAGAGCATAGTTCAGGTCAACCAGCTTCATCGCTTCTACCAGCCTCAGCAGCTGCAAACACTTGCCCAAAGGATTGAGCAGACGGTGGACTTCAATGCGCTGGCTGCTAGGTAAAGTTACATGTCTTTTGTCCATGTTGTAATACATGTATCATCTTTTGATGTATATACCATTTTGCAAGTTGGTTGCAGGTAGAGTGGAAATGGAGGGGTGTCTGCATTGTATGGTTGTTTGTTCAGTGATTTAACTTGCCAATCGAACTTATCAAACAAGGCGTTCAGAATGCTAAAGTTGGTTTGCATGCAGTAACGAAGTTCCATATGTTTTCTGATCATGAGCTTGTTCAACTGGAGGATCTGAACGACTTGATTCAACATTGTACCACGATATGGCAGCTTTCTGTTATTACTCTTTATATTCCATCTTTGTGTCTTTCGACTTGTTACCTCTTGATCTCAGGTCGATTTTGGGAGTCATCATGCTTTGTCACAAGTGTTTCTTCAGATCAGAATGTTCTACTGTTTGCCAAGGTTGATATTAACCAAGACTCTTAACATATATTCTTTTTGATCTGCAGGTGGGGCATGCCTAAGGAGCTGGCCATCGACCTGGCCTGCCTTGGGCTCTACGATATCGTCATCCTGGCAGACGACTCTTCTTCGATGTCCTTTGAGGAGCAGGGCGAGCGCATTGAGGACTTGAAGCTGGTACTCAGCAAAGTTGCCGAAGTGGCCACCATGTTCGACCAAGACGGCATCCTGATTCGTTTCCTCAACTCCAACGTCCAGGGTAATGGCATCAGGTGAAGCGAGCAGTCTTGGTTCTACAAATAATTCACAATGCAACTGATTCCCTGGCTCCAGAGCCTCTTTGGTCTTTGTCTGTTTCCCTCCCAACGTCTATGTAAAATAACTTTCGAGACTCTCTTTTGGGAATGCATTCACAAAGCTGGAGCGACGAAGATCCCTTCTGCAGCTCTATGTGTACTGCTGCCTTGTTTGCATACACATTCAATCTGAATCATGTTGATCAGCGCAGTGAGACTCGTCTACAGAGCGCCCCTTTAGTACTTGCATACGATTCCTGTGCACTACTTACTGCGCATCTGTGTACAAAATCTGCAATCCTTCCATATGCAAACTCCTCAACCGCTGCTTTCTTTTTGCTTGCAGGAATGCCCAGGAAGCTGAGGGCATCGTGAAGCAAGTCCGCTTCCAGGGCCTGACTCCTCTCGCCGGCAGCATGCAGAGCCACGTGCTGGAGCCCGTGGTTTTCAATCTGGCGCGGTCCGGTCAGCTGGCGAAGCCCGTTCTAGTTATCACCATCACAGACGGGGAGCCGTCAGATAGCCCGCGCGATGCGATCTTGCAGGTCATTGCAAACGCGAGGAGGCAGCTTGCGCCGCAGTATGGACCTAAGGCAGTTGCCTTCCAGTTTGCGCAGGTGAGGTTGCTTCCCGCAAATTGTGCTGTCAAAGAGCTTTGCGAGGTGCGACTGTGTGTGGAGCGGATTGTTGGTGACCTTTTGGGCAAAGACACTGATTGCATTCGCAGAAAAGTTGTTTCTGCTTTCATTTTGACATAATGTTTAAGCTTCCTATCACTGGTGGATGAACTGAATCTGCGAGAACCACTGTTTGGTTTGCTTGGTTTCAAAAAGTCAAAAAGTGGTTCACATCTTTCTTCGCCAACCGTTCCTGCAAGACGGGATATATTTTGATGCTTCGCTGTTTGAATTTGACTCGATAAAGCCCCCGAGGTGGTGGTGAGTAACCGGGAATGATCTTCAATGTCACGCTGACTAAAAAGACGCTAAAGCAGCCACTTTTTGAGAAGTTTTCGTTCACATATTCACTGAAAAGTGCGCCCCGCTGTCTCTGCAGGTCGGACGTGACCAGCGCGCGCAGCACTTTTTGGAGAAGTTGGACAAGAGTCCGGAGGTTGGCGATGTGATCGATTGCACGTCATACTACGAGCTGGAGGCTGAGGAGTTCAAGCGGAAGGGAATTGACATGACGGTTGAGATTTGGCTGGTGAAGCTCATGGTCGGGGCGGTGGATCCCTCTTACGACGCAGAGGATGAGGGTTAAGGATTTCCAGGGTTAAGCCTTTGCTCTCTAGAATGAAGGGTGAAGGGAGAATTTTAGAATCGATTGGTACAAGGCGGTATGGGGGCGGTATACAGCGCGAGAGGGATGGTAAGGGTCGAATCGATATGTGTGACGGGCGGTGGGTTGTTGAGGAGTAGTGGGGTGGTTGGAGCTTATTTGCACGAGGAGGTGAGCAGTTAGGTTGCTAGTTTTCTACGAGGCGAAAGTTGGTCAAGCGGAATGGGTCAAACGGAGGAATACAAGAGCAAGGCGGGGTTTTTCTTACGGCTTGTACCATAATGAAAGATCTGTAAGGACGAGATCAATCATTTGCGCGCACATTCATAAGCAAATCGAGTTTTGTACTTATCTTCGTATACAAACTGAATGATAGATATGTTCAAGCCGCGACGGGGTCGGATGATATATTTGTTGGTAAATTCTGGACGATACCTTTGTACATTTACTGCCACCCATATTTTTGAATTGATTCACTCAGTAATTCAAAACCTTACAAATCCACCTGGTCATAGTCTTTTCCCCCATCATCATTAGCTACTTTCTATTATTTGCCAATCTAACCTCACACGTCAATATGCAATAACATTGTTGATCTGCACATGTATACATCTTTATTTGCTTATATCGCTGTACATGCGAGTTATTTCCTGATACCATAGAACTACTTGTGAAACATCTGCAGGCTAACCTTAGGCATAATTTCTCGTCGGGGCATGATTGACAAATTTTACTATATCTGGATGGTAAGTTGGGTAATTTCATCATATTCTGTCGCTATACCATCCTTCGATTCCTGTTTATCCAACCCATCGAGTTGTAAAGATCAATGTCGATACCACTTCATATTCCAAATCGGAAGGGGTTACATATCAACGCAGATACCAATGCATAATTAAACATGCTTTATATAATAATTACTCTTTAAGAACTGCAAAGGTTCAATAGAAACCGGGTAGACCAATTTAACCTCCGAATTTGATTTGATGCTGCAATGGACGTGGGTATGAATCGAACAAGAAGGAAAATTCCCTCCGAATACGGAACTATGCGGCTTGCAAATCCTGGCAGCGATCAACTGTGGTAAAACCGCATGCGGCTTGTGCTAAGGGATGCCCTCGGAGGAATTGAGTAATGGGATATTGGCTCCGAACCGACAAGTTGGACGCCTGCTCGCAAGCACACCTCCGAAGCACCGACACAGTGCCCCACCAAATTCTACAGTTTCAACGAGCACTATTATGGAGGACCTGGAAGAATGGGCAGTGTAGGCATGATAGGTCAAACAAATTAGCTGTACGACGCTAGCCGCTTAGGAGAGACACAGTTAGAACTCTGCAGTAAGGAAATACTTAACGAACCCTACATAAGGAGGAACCATGCCATGTAAGCTCTTGCTTGCAGGTAGATCAGATCATGTAGATCAATTAGCTTGTTAGGTAGAACTCGGCCCCGAACCCATGTACTCAATTAAGCCCCATGCCTCGGTACGGGCTTTATAATGTGATGTATGTATCGATATCCGACGACTCAACAACGCACATATGCACCCAGCGGGTATGGACGGATTACCACAGCTTCAAGGGCAACAATTCACGTCTACCTCCTCGAGTGTTCGACTTCTTATTGACCGTAAAATCCTCAAGAATCTAGTGAGCAACATTTTACGGCCAGTTCGTACCAAAGTTGGTCTCAACGTTCTGTTAATGTGGAACCCTTATTGAGACACCTGCCCCTTTCTGTTCAACCCGCCTAGCTATTCATTTTAGCCCTGCATTCCCTGAAATGAGCCCTACTGACTGGACTAGAGCCTTGCAAAGTAGCTCCCTTTCCTCGAAGCTTTATACAGACTTGTTCCGGCTCGTCAAGCTCGCTTCTCAAGTTACTGGTTCCATCTAAGAACGTCTACATTCAATCGATTAACAATCTGTGCAATCCACGCGTGCTTAGACGGCCAAAGTACAATAATCTAAAGAGTGTAGCTAATGGTGTGCAGATCGAAGAACGCCCCGTTCTGTCCGCCGGTAAAGATTCCGTTCTTCCGGCGGCACTGCGAGACGACGTTGTGGACAAGCTCTGTCGGTCCGCTGGCCAGGACACCGATTCTCATTCCGGCGTGTTGCTCGGCAACCTCGGTCAGAATATCTGCAGGATTCGGGACAAAGTGGTTAACGATCTGTATCTTGGTGCCAACTGTTCAGCCAAATGGAAAACAATGAAAACTTCAATGTTCAAGTGGACCAGCCAGTTAAAAGTCGCGAAAGGAGCGCCGAGAACAGACATCGTATGGAAGAAAAACGGAAGTCCCCTTCACATGCAAATTCGGGTTTAGCTTAGGGCGTTGGAGAGTCCAGTCTCGGGTCCGGGCGCTTGTTGAGAGTTTTCGACAACTTGATCGAGATCTTTACAGAGCTTACGTGACCGTCCCAGGTTTGCGTGCTGAAACGAGGCAGCAAAGCAAATCTTTCCTTTTGTAACTCTTACTCAGAATATGTGTCACAAAGCCAGCGCTTGGTTCCGTCCGCTCACCTGCCGGCACCGGACGCTGTCCGAAGGTGACGTCCGCAGCCTGCAGCAGGTTGTCCTCAGAGTCCGCAGTCTCCTCCAGAATGCAGCGGCTGGCGCGGGAGCTTTCGTAGCCGTCCTTTGCCGGGGCGTCAACTGCGTCTGCAAACCAAAAGAGGAGAAATTAAAAGGGTTGCGTTTGGTAAAAACCGAAGGGTGCGAGAAACGGGGTCTGAAAGGAGGAGGCGTCTAACGGAGCATGTGTTAAAAAATGTGCGAGGAAACAGCCCTTAAAGCCGGACTTCGTTCTGCTGTGAAGAAAGTTCCGTGCAACGTAGTCGAACCACACGCCGAATCAGCACGGAATCTAGGTGGACGTTTCAATTAACCATTCAAAACCGTACTACCATCAAGTGGCACGCTCGCAACATCTTCGATCGCGAACAAAGGTCAAGCACTTCCTTATCCTCGTACTCAGTATTAACACGGACTGTCAGCATTGCTCACCAGATGCTTCTTTTCTTCCGAGCATGTTGTCAAGCAAATACACGGCGGCCATGGACAGGCCCCCGAAGACGATCACCCCCGCAACTATGCTGCAGAGGAGAACGCTCGAGCGGTGCCACCAGCGCATGCCGGTCTTGGCTCCGTGTTTCTCGTACGAGTAGACGATCAGGTTGAACGCGGCGCCGATGAATATCGTGGTGCCCACAAGCGTGATCAGAAGGACCAGCGAGAGCCGCCAGCCGTTGATCTGCAGGCAGAAAGTCTTGGGTTTAATCTGAATGCAGAATATTCCATGATAGGCTGTCAAAGATTCGGTCATGGAGGCTCGACTGAGGACATTCAGAGTGGCATGGATTCTCGGTTTGCAGCGAAAGGAACGCAGCCCGGAAAAATAAGCGGTCTCGATCAGAAGCGACTGACACGGCACGAGTGAGAACATCAGACACAATCCATGCTTGAAAGCACGGAAGCCTTCTTTGAGTCGACTGATCATAAAGGCGTCTGTGCCGGATTTGCGAGAATGGAGACTTTGAGAACATTTCAGACTCCTAAAAAGCTCTCCTCTGACTTCTACTTTGCCTGGGTCTATTCCGTTCTGAAGGCGGAACATGATTGAAAAGGAACCCAGCAAAATTCCCCACCTGGGCTCGCATGGGCTGGACTGCGCTGTGCTCCGCCACGTCGACGCGTGAGTAGTCCAGAGTGCTGACGTCGCTCTTGGTGCCCTGAGTGACGTAAGCGTGGACGCGGATGGTGACCTTGGAACCGTGTCCGGGGCACAACTGACCGGGGGACAGCTCCGCGATCGGGGCGAGTTGGCGGTAGTCGCGAACAGCCCAGTAGAGGTAGATCTGCGAGGAGGATTGAGGGAACTGGTTGAGCAATTGTTGCTTCTGTGGTTGAGTCATTCTTGCTTCTGTAGCCAAAGACAGAATCGATTGACAGATCCTTGACCCTGCAAAAACGGGCACGGCTTCAAAAGCTTTCTCATTTTTCCTGACGGTTTGCACGGCGAAAGGCCGTGTTTCTGAACCGAAATCGTGGTGAGGATTGCAAGCAGAAGATTTTTCCAGCTCAAACATTGCGTCATTGAACCTCGACGGAGGTCAAAACTGTCGGACAAAGCCTTTTTGGATTTAGCGTCCTGGGCTGGGCGCGAAGTGCAGTACACAATTTCCGATCTCTTGACAGGGGGCCTCAAACCCCGGATCTCCTGCGCATATCGACCGTCTGTCAGAGACAGATCAGATAATTCCTGTGATGCATACTGCACTCGACGAAAAGAAAGTGTCGATGACGGTGCTCTTCCTTACCACGGAGGGAAGTCCGACGTCCGCTCCGATCCGGTGAGAGTGCAGGATGTCGCGCAGGACGGCGATGAGCGGAACGATGCCGGAACCGCCGGAAATCATGACGAGGGCAGGGTACCTGTGAAGACGATGGGAGCGTCAGTATCGGCCATGAGAAAGCCAATGAAAAAACACTGAAAGTATAGTCAGACCAGCCAACACGAACCGTCTTAGAAATACTCAAGAGAACAGCATTGTCAATTCCTAGCTTTGGGAATTGCTGCAAAGAGATCTGCTTCACTGCCCACTTCGCTTTGAAGGGAAACGTATCAGGAGGCCGGAAAGCTTTTGCTGACCCTTCGCAGCTTAGCTATCAGACCTTCGAAAAACCAAGCATCCGCAACTTAGAAATAGAAAATCAGGCCTTTCAGTAAGAGCGAGCTCACCTCTTGAACGAGTCACTTTCGCTCCCGTAGAACCCGTCCGCTTTCAGCATCCTTGTGAGCGGACACTTGGACACGGCCTTGGCGTCCGGATCGGGCGACACGTGGCCGACTTTCGCGGTCGCGCGGTCGGTCCATTGCGTCCCACCGAGGGTTTGGGGTTTCACGTGAAAGACGAAAGAGCGCGCAGAATCTTTCGGGCCGGTCATAAGGCTGAAGGGGTGCCATTCAAACCGGGAGACGCCCGGGATGTTCACGAAGAGGAAACTGAGGGGGTGGAAGGCGTGGTTGGGATGTTTGGCGACCTCGACCTGCAGAGGAATATGAACGGGGGAAGATTCATAAGGCTGCTCGAAGAGAGCAGCGCTCTCAGACGAATCTGGTCACCTATCGTTAAATCCTCAAACGCCTTAGCACTTATATCTGGAATTCTTAACCCGTATGGTTTTTGAAGACGCTCGGAAACAAGAAGAGCATCTAGCGAGTATGACCAGGGCAGGGATGGAATCTCATAGTACCGGCAAAAGCTTCGAAGCGAATGGAGACGACAGTTCATCAAACCTATCGTCAAGCCAGCCAGATGTCAATCAGGTAACCGAATCAAGGCCCACTATTGGTACTTTAACCGTTCCGCTAAAATTACATTTAAGAAGCAATAAATAAGCTTCCGCAGTCGGAAATAAAGCGGAAGCCGGAAACAAAACCGACGCAAACACGAGTGTATTCTCACCTGGATGGTCCCGTCAGGCAAGGTCTTGGTGGCCAGCACCCCGGCGTGGCCCCAGGACTGGATCGCCCTTTGGAGCCGGTCAAAGGCGAACAGGAAAAGGCTGGGCATCATGAAGGTGAGCCCGTTCTTGGTGCCTTGGTGCCAAAAGAGGAACAGGATGAACAGCACGTACAGCTGGTGCACGCTGAAGAAGAGTTCGAAGTATCGCCGTCGAACGACGCCCAGGCTGGTCAAGCCCATGATGGCGCCGACGATGCCGACGAGGATGCCGGCGGGGCGCGACACGTCGTAGCCGCGCCAGTCCTTGACCTGGGTTTGCGAAGGAAACTTGGGGTTAGAGAAAGGTGGGATATCCGTGCAAGGAATGAAATGAAGCAAGCTCAACCAAAGAGATTCGCAACGCTTGTAAAGTGGAGATGAAGCGAGAAGTGGACACAGTCAGAGTTGACAGCGGGACAACGGATGGCAGTAGGCTTTCCAAATCTGGGCCCCTCGTCTTTGAAGGGTTGTGTGTCAAGTCCTCAGTTTGACAGGGAAGGGTCTAGCATTGATCAGTCAACGCCTCGGACAAGTCGGACCGCCTGTTTTGTACTGATGAAGCATTGGTATGTCGGAAGTAGGACACCCTGACAGTACACTTGTGGCAGAGAACCAGTTAAGGAACCCTATTTACGGCTGAAGAGGCAAATGAGAGAACCGCCCAGATGGAGCATGTTTGTCAGTACGCTTGGCAGTACAGAGTTAAGCAAGAGAACCAATCTGACACCAGTTGCAAAGCGGCCCGATCACACAGTACCTAACCTAGAAGCGCCCAACAAAACAGAACCTCCAACCGGAAAAGCACAAGTCCACTTTCCACTCACGTTTTTCTGCACGGTGCCGATCTTCTGCCAGTAGGTCATGTAGGCGACGAAGTGGCCGAGCGTCATGAGGAGCATCCACCACGCGAGCCAGCGGTGGTAGCGCACCGCGCGCTCCCAGGGGACGTTGATGAGCTTCAGGAGGGGGGAGTTGCGCGCGACTGGGAAGAAAAGCAGGTTGACCAGGATGTAAGACGCCCATCCGAAGAGCTGCGCGATGTAGTCCCACTCGCCTTGCCACCTGTCAGGGAGCGAGGGGGGTGAAACTAGGAAACAGGGCGAACAGGGCTAACAGCCGAGGGGAATGGAATCAGTGCAGGAAGTATGCAATGAGTGCGGGGGATTGACAGTGAGGTTCCTAAGGTAGGGAGTCCAGTATTTAAAGAGCCCTGCCAGAGTTGGAATTGGGAGACCTATACTTGGGTTGTCAGGAGGTGTGACTAAGCCAGGCCCAGTCAACCATCTTGCAAACATTGTGCAAAGGACAATCTGGTAACGGCTTCCTCAGAGTCCTTATTGTAGAGAACTCTTTTCTTCGTTCTTGCTGTCTTATTGGAAGAAGTGCCCTTTAGAACTCCTTCAAAGGCAGTACTTGCTAATCAAGAGCTTGAAATCTCCCTCCTCGAAAGGGAAAACCACAGTAGACTAAGCCAAAGAGCTACTTAACAAGGAGCACACCAGTTGGAAACTGTTGGACACATGTGTGGGCGTAATGCTTACGCTGGCGCTGGCGGCTTCTTGGGCTTGACTAGCGGCACCCTGTGGATGGTCTCGTACTTCTTGCAGTACATGACCGCAGCCTGCCAGATGAGAAACGCCGCAACATACGTGCACCAAAACAACTCCGCCACAGTCACGGTCTGGAACACCTGGAACTTCCAGATCCGGTAGAGGAGACTGGGGGGCTTAGCCCTGCAGGCGGAAACAAGGGGGTGCAGTTTCAGGAAGGGCGTGAATGCCTTTTACTGTCAAGACCAGGAAGAGCCCGGATGCCTTTTCTGCACTGCGCTTGAGCACTGACTATCTTCAGCATTACTAGAAAGGACCACAGCTACTTTAGAGACCATGACATTTGCCTGCAATGAGAGTTGAGGGGGGTCACATCAAGACTTGCAATTCTGCTGGCAATGTGCTCTCAAGAAAGAAACTTGGATGGGACAATTGTGGACAGCGTCAATCAGAGCACAAGACGTCCTCATACGCTGGTTGAACAGGCAAGCAAGATGCAGAAGATCCAATTTCTTTGGTACTCACTCTCTGATAACGTCCTGTTCAGTCCGGGGAGGCTTCGGGAGGCTCAGGTATATGGGAGCCAGAATAGCAATCAGAACCGGGGGCACAAAGTAGAGGAGATAGTTTGCATCTGCGCGGATGAAAGAACGACTACTTTTAGAATTTGTTCAGAGCGTGTTGAAAACTGCAAAAGAGTAAAGAACAAGTCACAAAGTCTCAGCAGTGATAAATAACATATGACTGTGGTAAAGATGATGAACAAAAGCAAAGATCTTTGGGCGTATTTTCGGACTGATAGACAGAGCAACGTGTGCTTGCAGTGACTCTTGCTTGGCAGCAGAGGAGCTGGCAGAAAGAGCCAGATTCGCCGACTGCATACATATCCGTCAAGAAGAGCACTGCTTAGAATGTCCGTCGCAAGCAATAAGGTCTCTTCAAGGATCCACCTCTATGAGAAATTTGTTATAGATCCGTTTGTAGATCAGCCGCAAAACGCACCAATGGGACTGTCCCTTGCAAGCGAGTGCCTAGCTCGCTCAGCACTCGCAGCGGGTCACATTAGCACCCACGTCAGTCCCTACTTCAGCAGAAATCCAAATCGTATCCAGCGACGTTGCGGAATGCTAGCAATTGCCGCACAGCTTACCGTACAGGTCGAAGTACCCCGAGTCAAGGTCCGCTCTCCACTGCTTGTTCAGCAGATTGGTGCCGAACCACACGGTAGGCCGAGCCCACCAGAAGAAGTTCCACGCCACAAAGAGCCCCCCCATAACGGCCAGCAGGAACCACCGCAGCGCTAGGATTGCTGGCCCGGGGACTTGCCCCGGGCTAGCTTTCTGGCTCTCTGTCATGGTTACCATGGATCCCCGGTGCTTTGCAGCTGGTTGGTCACTGCAAAGGTTCACAGGAGAATGAAGAGCTCAGCTTGGAATGTGGATCTATTTGTAGTCTACTGAAGTGGATCCTACATCTGCTTTGTCATCGCATTGCAAAGTTCTCAGATATACCTAAGGCTGGACTCAGGGAGGCACATATGGTATTTCGGAAGCAATCTTACCTTGCAAAAAGCGCTGGAGGATCTATGCTCTGTAATCGGGCATAGCGTTGGAGCTCAATCGACCACATCACGCCCACCAGATCAGTGGGTTCAGCGCAACCTGATCAAAAGCTTCTAGGTACAGGCATTCTTCTCCTCTGTGATATTGCGTTGGCCTACCGGTAGTACTAAGTAGGGGCCAGGTGTCCCTATTATAAGTGCAGGTACCTAGATGGTAAATCAGTGATTGGAGAAACAGAATTTACTTTGCCCTTGGGAGACCGCCATATTATCTTGAATCTTAGGGAAGGGACACTTTGAAGCTGTACCCCCCGTATTAACTGTTATGGGGGGGGTACGGAGGAACGAGAGCCGCTACTGGGGGGTAGATGGGGGGGGGACCTACTGCCACTGAAGGAAGCCCAATGTCATATGGGGGGGGGACCATTGTGGACTATGAGATCCGGGGGTTCAAGGGGTGTTTAGTGTGATTTTATGGCCATTTTCCCTCCAAATATACCTGTAATTGGTCGAAAATATGCCCTTCAGGTTGCACCTAGCTCGAAGTCAGCCTCAACACAGCCTAAGAATTCTGCAAATGCACTCCCCTATGATCAATTTTCCAAAATTTGGAAAAAAACTGAGCCTTTGCATGGGGGGGGCACCGGAGACCCTCGAAAACTGAGCAGGCAAGGGGGGGGCGCTTGGTGCCCGCGCCAGCGCTGCCCGTCAGGAAGGGGGGGGGACTCAGGTCCTCTGGCTGAAAGGGCTCGATAGTTAACACGGGGGGTACAGCTTCAAAGTGTCCCTTCCCTTATCCCAGTCGGGTGAAAAAGTATGCGTGTGCCTTGCTGAATGTTGTCTGTTGCCTTGGGCCGAGCACACGCCTGACTTCAAAATGTCGACATTTTCCCGAGTCATGATAGGTAGTGACGCCAGCGTAGCCCAATCCGGACAATCTGATTGGTCGACTTGACAAAGGACATTTACTTCCGGACACGCGCTGGGCACCGCCGATCCGATGTCAAACTTGGGATGTGCACACAGGGTCCGCCTAACACGCGCCCATGTGTCCGGTGCTAGACCGAAGCCGAGGTGTGCTCATGAGGAGCGTTTTCGAATCCCAACCTTGCTCGGCTGTAGTATGTATGAACGGACGAAGCATTTGCGCAGCTAGCAACTCAAAAGTGAACCTACGGCCTATGCCACAATCCTCTAGCCCGGCGCACTTATGGTCTTTAACATGGATCCGCGTTATATTATATCACAGAGGCATGCCCCTTCAGGTCCTTCTCACAAAATATCTGCGATCGGATCTCTGTCGGCATACAGTGCTTATGTCGTGCAATCTAGGCAACTGTAGAACTGTTTGAAGCTAGCTTAGCTGCTTGCTTGCGATGATCACCATCATATATAAGCGCCTACGACTATCACTTGCAGGCCGTCTGTCCGGCGCTTCATGATCTGACATGCGCTCATATATATCTTTGTTAATTTCGTTAATACCTACAAGCTGTAGGTCCATTCTTGCAATTCACGGCACACCAGTCAGTGCCCAAAAGTTCCAACGTCTAGGTATCTCAACTTACTCAACTATCTCAAGGGCCCAGCGCCAACGTGCATAAGACTACTTGTAATGGTTGACTTGAAAATGTTACGGAACGCACTGGCATGTCAAATTGCGCAACTGGATGTGCATGTAACAGCCAGCTTCCGGTGTGCATTTTTTCAACATTTCGACAGTGGAGGATTCCAAAAGAGCTTTGAAACTATGATACTATATTGCTTCATCTGCAATAATCCAGCCGGACATATTGCAGACATACTCTACGTTGGCGACTAGGTTCCGAGGTGGTCTTACTATGAACGAGCGTTCGGTAACCAGCTGAGAAGAATTGCGAATGACGCACGCCAGCACTCGTTATGGTGAACGGCAGCATGGCTCTCGAAGGACCGAAGCGCACGCGTAGCATGATGATTACCAATGTATTTTTCAGATAAAGTGACGTGTATGTTCTGATTACTTGCATATAAAATCCTCATACACAAACACCAACCAAATTGACTTGTTACTTGATATGCGAACACTGCTCGGCTTTCAAGCAGTTGTAGTTGCTCAGTTCTGAATGCCTGACATTGAATATCATCGTCTGTCAGCACGAAGTCGGATCGGTCAAGATGGATCCCGGGCTACTTAGGCTGAAGACACTCCGGTTCTTAAAGTAGACTGATGCAGATTACCATACTTCAATAGCTGCATGACCGTGGATGCGCTTTGTCCTCTGAGAAAGGGAAGAAAGCGACTGCATTACAACGTCGGACGGGGAATGCCTAATTGTTCACAATGAGCGAGCATAGCCTGCCCTCTTTACTCGCTGGGTATATGAGTAATAATGTCTTCTTGCATGGTATCAAGCTCTAAGAGGTGTCCGACCTTGCCCCACCTGAGACAAACCACGAGTGCAAACACACGGCCGGTCACCTGACTGTAAGGAGGATTTTCCTTTCGGGCGGCCTCGTTGATTGAAGTGACGCAGACTTTTGTAACAGTTTGACTCGTCATTCAACTTTGCAACGCTTCACTAGAGTGCTTCACCAGATTACATCATAGGGATCAATGCTTTAGTAAGCCAGCGAAACTTTCGCTGGACCCAGCTCAAACGGTCTATAGCGGCCGCAGCACGGCGCTGTCGAGGCTGGCGTGCTGGTAGCCGTACGTCCGCAGCACCTGGTTGTCCGCAAAGTTGTACGCACGGTCGAACGCCTCGTGGCACTCGTCCAGGCTGGCCTCGCCGTACTCGCCGTGGCACATCTTGCAGCCTGCGGAAGGGGGTTATAAGGGAGCTATTGGACGTCGGGGACGCTGATCTGACGGGACGTTGGACAGCATATATTCACCCGGACAAAGTCAAACGGCGCCTTCGCGCCTGCTTGTGGGCTCGTGAAGAGGAATCCTTCATTAAAACCTTTTCTGGGACCTCGGACGATAATCCGTCCGGCTTTCGGATGAAACGCAGAAAGAGGGAACAAACAAATAAGCAAGACCTCTCCTCGAATGCGCTTATTGAAAAGAAGCGATCGAGCAGCCAGCGACTTTTCTTTGGATCGACTTTAGCCGACCGTTAGGATTCCAAGCAAACGGGCCCGGGGCAAATCGGACGAATCAATGGTTCTGCGCCAAAGAGACGCCAGTCGCCTCATCTGTTTACAATCAGCTGCCGCTCTCCTTTCCTGCATACCGGCTCTAAGAGGGCTGAAGCTTTTACATTCTGCCACGGAAACCATTTTCGAGCCGTCGCAACAATCAGAGCCCTCGGTCGCTCCTCACCGGTAAAATGTGTGACAAAAGGGTATGCCGCCCCGCCCTCGATGTCGTTCCCCTGGTCGGCCAGGATATCTAGGATGGGGCGAACCGTCTTCCACCACGTGTGGTACACGCCGTCCGGCTCAAGGACCGTCCAGTTGCGCCACTCGGCCTGGCGCGTTCTGAGCAGGTGCACGATCGCGCACTGGTCGTCGGCGGGCCAGTCTGCGCAGAAAGGTGGACGGCGTGTGCTTTTGTATCTAGGAAAAGAGGTGGGCCAGTTCGCGCAAAGGGTGGAGAAGATCTGCTTTTGCCCCAGGGAACGAGGTGGGCCAGTCTGCGCAAAATGGTGAACGGAGTTTCGTTTTGTATCCGGAAAAAGAGGTGCGCCAGGCGCGCAAAGGGTGGAGAAGATTCAGCTTTGCTCGCGGAAAGGAGCGTGAGCCAGTCTCCACGGATGTACTAAGGTGGATAGGGTTTGGCTTTTGCCCCCGGGAAGGAGCTGGGCCAGTCTGCGCAGAAGGCTAGCAGGAGTTGCCCGGAGGTCGTGACTGAAAAGTTCTGTAGCTACAGAGACGCGAGTTGTGAGGGAAGGGGAGAGGAGAGACGCCTCGCGGAAGGGCTTCTGCAACGGAGTAGGCTGCCAAGCAGTACGAAGAAGAGAGAACGGCTCAATCCATTGACAACCGCAAAGTGCGCAGTCGTCCGTCAGGAGTGAGTTTAAAGAGCTGATCTACGAGGGGAAAGGGGAAGACACAGCGGGGTGAATTCTCAGGACAATTTCGTAAGGGTTTGAGTGGGCGCCGGATGGATTGCACTACTTGGTGGCTTCTTGAAACCTCTCGTACAATCGCCTACAGACCAGCGCCTGCAAAAATTTCTGAGCTGAGCGGATTGGCAGGTCGACACTGAGGACGGCATCTCAAAGGGGAAAGCGGGAGGAAGAGGGACGAGCTCCCGCGAGCTTCAAAGTGGGTTCTCAATTTTTCCTGTCAATGGCCCGGCCCAGAAGATTTGGAAGTGACGATCAGGCGTATATACGAATCTTCTTCTGTCCAGATCAGAGTGTTTGACTTTCAAGACGAGAGGCTGGAATGTACACTGAAAGAGCTACCCGATATGCCGAGAGAAAACAGAGCGGGCCTTGTTTGCTCACTGTCCGCCCGGCCTTGGATCTCGCGGCTGAGCATATTGCCGACGTCGACCCTCTTGTCCAGGGCCCCGTACTCCATCACGGCATCCACGAACGCGCGGCCGCGGTGCGAGTTGCGCACCAGGAAGCTGCCCGCGTTTAAACCCAGCCAATCCCCTTCCTCGTACACCTAAGAAATGAACGCAGGGTTTGCCAAGAGGATGGTCTCGGCCCGCACCAGGCTGCTCTCCACAAAATGGAAGTCTGAGACAAGGGTGCAGAAGCATCTGAAGAAGGAACCGTACCGAAAGGATCTGGTCTGCGTCGGCACGAGAAACCCCATCTCGACCGGATGAGAGTTTTGTAACGGGTTTTTGCTCTGATCTGCAGGGTATGAGCAGGCCCCAACGTGAGGAGCAGCCAAAAGTTCTTCTAGGTAGCTCACTCTTTGACTCCGCTCTTGTGTAAGTATCCGATATTCTCTCTTCGTTGGTCATTGGCTCACCTTTTCTTCGCTCCCCGAGAAGACCAGGTCGAAGCCGCGGTACTTGTCGAAGGGGATGTCGAAGTTGAAGTCGGTGATGAGCGTGTCGGTGTCCATCCAGAGGAACCATTCCACGTCAGCGCGGTCCGCCATGTTCCTCTGGAGGAGGGGGTACTTGAGCCAGTACATGTCGAACGACGAGTCGAACAGCTCCATGCTGTAAAACAGCTCGTGACCGTGCACCCTGTGGGATGGATTTGACAAAATGTGAGGATGAGAACCGGAGCTTTCTCAATATTGCTTGTAAGCGTGGAGTCTGAAGTGTTTAAGAGTTTGCGAGGTCGAACGAACGCTGCGTAAATGTGGCCGCACCTTTGCAGGGAACAGGAGCTTCAAAAGCCACTTTATGGCAAGTGAGTTGGTTCAATTTCTGAGGGTACGACAAGAATCCATCGCGTTTGCAGCATATCAGGAAAGCCATGCATTTCACAAATCAGGGTAACGTTGAGTTCTGCTGTTGAAACGGGCTCTTAAAAGACCGATCTATGTTGTTAACGAGTTCGTCAGAGTAAGGCTGAAGACACATATATTTTGAAAACAACTTCCACGTCAGATTGCATGCACACCAGATTTCGTGATTTGAGGCCTGTGGCTTGAGATTATTAGCCTTGCCAACCGGCGTTCAAAAGAAGTAGATGCCAATACCAACAAAAAGTAGAGGCTCAAGAAGAAAAGATATTTTCATGACATCAGCATCGGGTGTCTAACTTCTTACCTCGCATAGTCAATCTTGTTCTTCACTCCCTTCATGATGATCTCGTACCCCCGGGCCAGCTTGCACGGCCGCGCCTCGTTCGCTGTCAGGATCATGACCTTGGGCCGCTGTCTCCCTTTCACAAGCGTCAGTCCGCTTTTTGCACCAGCTTCGATGGAATTCCCATTCTCTGGACGAGTGACTTTCACTGACTGTCCGTTCTCACCAGAGGCCACCTTCCGCGGCCTATCGTCTACCAACATTGGTTCTCCTGTAACCTTCCTGCTCTGGCTCAGATCTTGAACTTGGACTTCGTTCTCCTCCAACCCCTGTCTTTGCTCTGGATGATCCTTGCTACTTTCTGTCTTGTCTTTCCTTTCTACCCTCTCTTTCTTTTCAGCGCCTACCATGCTTTTCTTAGCCCCCACCGTTTTCTTGAGATTCTTCTGCATCTGCTTGAGCACAATCAGCTTTTCCGTCCTCTTGGTCAGCTCCTCATTCTTCTTCTCCTCTTCCTCCCTCAACTTCTTAAGAACCTCGTCCGCATGGGTCCGCACACGCTTGTTCCCACCCCCGGGGGTCGCCTCTTCCCCCAAACTGGCCCCCCCTGGAAAGACAATCTCCCCAGCCAGTTGCATGGCAGCCATCTCCTCTTCGGACAGCTTCCTGTGGTCCGCATTCTGCAGCTGCTTGAAGGAGCGCTCCAGCTCACGGATCTCCGCCGCGTGGCGCTCGTGGAAGGAGCCCCAGTCCTCCGGCTGGAAAACGTCCTCAGTGTTGAGCTCCTCCCTCAGCCTGCGCCTGGTGGCCGCCACAAAGCTGGCAGAACTCCCGTCATCCAGGGGGCTGTCAAAGCTGAAGAGCCAGCCTTGCAGCATGAAGACCAGGGTCAGGGCCGCGCAGACCAACGTGATGATGGACCCTGTAGAGAGGCCGCTCAGATCGAGGAAAGAAAACAGGTTCCTGCTGTCAGGGGAGCGAGAACGAGGACGCGCCATCATGAAAGCCAGGGGCCAGCACTTTGAGATTGTGGGAAGAACTGCGAGGATATTGAGCTCCTTTCTTGCGTGTCTGCTAGCTTTCAAAGACAATATCACAGCAACGCACTGTTGAGCAGGGGTCAAAGCCTGGCCTTCGAACAACTGGCATCAGTAGCAAGAAGATTCTCGAATCCATTGCTGCTGCAAGCAGGATTCAGCCGGTCACAAAGACAGAAGAGCTCTGGGGAGCAAGAAGGGTAGGCTTACTTGCATTCAGCAGAACGAAGGCCTTCAGAAAAGTAGCATTCTTCTTTGACATATTGCTTCTTGCACTTGTCTTTCAGGTTCAGTGTACGTTTTCCCCTCAATAAATTCCTCAACTCTGGCGTGTCAAATATTGACAATGGCTTCTCTTGGTCTCTCAATTTTCCCTTGAGCCATAACAAGAGAGCATGACAGTTCACAAGGGCACTCCTCTCGGTGATGACTGCACTATCACATCCTCGTTCCCTCTCGAAACATAGGGTCTCCTTGAGGCATCGGAATCAGAACGTACGGTAAGATGATGAGCCGTTGAGCCAGGGAAAGCAATCTTCAAAGATCAGCAGTAGGAGATGGTAGCTTTACTCTCACAGCCTTGGATTTTCCCGATTGTTTAGAAGAAGGTCCCTTGCTTAAACAGTTGAGACGTGCATTAGCAGCTCTCCGCCCTTCGGAGATCCAGCATCCAGATTACTGTGAATGATGCAGGCGAACCGGCCTAAGGAGAGCCAAGCTGCCAGACTTACTAGATGATCTGTGTAAAAGATAGTGACCTACGGTCTGGACGGCTGCGTCGTGCAGCAGAACCTCGCTTCCAGCTCGATCAATTGAGAAATACTTTCTGTGTGAGAGCAGGGAATCTGTCTTCTGATTGGTCTGGAGATTGTTGTGCCCCCGTTGACCACGTCTGACGTTACTCAAGCTCATAGAACAGGCTAGGAATGAAGCACCGCATGTTCCAAGAAAGGCCATGGGTACTTGGAGAGCCCCGACTGAGTCAAGGCGTTTGTAAGCGGCTTAGATGGGAACCATTGGGATCCTCGAATTCGAAGGGCTTTGACTTCGAGAATGTTCTTTATCTCGGTGCTGCCTAATTGCAGTACTCGAGTTCGCTTATTCCAGAGACAACTTCCTCGAAGGAGGGGAAAGCACACAAACCAATGTTGGTTTGTACCATAGTCTTAAAACTGTCGCGGCGAACACGAAGTCTTTACATCGCCTGCCCTGAAAGTTGGTTCAACATCGCAAATGCTGCCACAAGCGGCAGTCAAAAGCTGGTTGCCAACCGCAGTCTTAGTCTAAAAATTGGCGCCGTTCTACCGCTCCACATCCGAATCAACGTATAAAAATCGCTAGGATGAAGCGCAGCAACAGCTGATCATAACAGGAATTGATTGATATACTTGGATTGACAACTTAAACATACTTAAAACTGGCCATGGCCGTGAGCCTCTCCAACGTGACCCGGATATAAACCAGATCTAGGAAGAACCATAGAGCGGCTTGACTGTAATAAGGCATCGTACATATTCAGATCGACACACTTGAGCATGCAACAGGTTAACTAACTCGTCAAGAGCGCATCATATGTCGTGCAATTGCATGTGCAGCTTCGTTCGGATCAATCAATGCCAGGCTAGCCTAGGGCCCGCGCATGACACTGCATGGTATCGCCGCCAGAATTTGCAGTGTATTCTGGAAATCTGTTGCATCCTCGGCGCTATACCGATGCCAGCTGATCAACATGCTCCAACCGGACAGGCTCACTGGCTATAAGCTTACTTCGAAGACACGCGGCGATGGTGTGATCAGACTTTGCCAGTTGAGAAAGTTGAGAGTGCATGAGTCAACAACGAAACACTATGGCTTGCAACACATATCCACTCTTTAAGGCCGTACCAAGTTGGGGCTTGATGAATGAATCCCAGTCAACCGAGCAAGTCACTCAGTGTTTGCTGATCATTAATTTGAATGAGACTCATGGTCAATCATTCCGCTGATAGCTAGAATCAAGCCTTGAAGCAAATGACAACAAAAGCCTCGTGCAATGATCAATGCGATAGGAGTTGTCAAAGGTTGATAATAAATCTTCTCAGGGCTACATCTATCTGTCTTAATCAATCTTCTTCGCTAGGTAAGGGTTTCTTTAGTCAGCTTACGAAGCACAACCTATGCGAGCATGCCAGCAAACCAGGGCCACAATCATAGTTCTAAGCTGTCTTGAGCATCATGCGACCTTCAGATCTGGCAGTGACTGAGGAACCGGATCCGCAATTACAGGCTGATATTGTTTCAAACCAGGCAACTGCGCGCGCATCTCTATGATTATGGCACACCTGTCTTTTGAGTATCTACATGTCTATAGGTATTTACAGTATCAACAAGGCTTCAAAAACTACTCTTTCAGCACCGTACATGAAACCCAAATTTAGGTACATTCAGAAACCCGCCTACGTATGCACTTACTATAATTGTATGGACAAATCCGAGATCGTCAAGCCTACGTATGCACTTGCTACTGTAGTATGGACAAGTCCAAACTGGTCACCTTGTTCTTGTTATGAAGATAGGTCGCGTACTCCTTGATCTTTGCTGATAAGTCCTCGAAGCTGTCCGCAACATAGTACTTCTTCTGGAAGCCGTCCTTGTAACTCATCTTGGTCAGCTTTCCAAAGGGGTCCAGGGGCTCAAAGACGGGCCGCTGATCGCCCTTCCCGTGCTGGAACCACTCTAGCTCCCCAAAGCTGGACAGGATGCCGGCGCCAAATGCCTTCAGCTGCTCGCCCTCCTTGATGACACCGAACTCAACCGTGTACCTGAAAGCGTAGGTAGATGAGGGTTGCGACGGTTCGGATGCGACTGACAGCAGGAAGATTGGTTTCTTCGGAGAAGAAGCTCAACTGCAGCTTATCAGAGCGAAAACGATAAACGTACCATACTTTTAGAGATGTGTCAAGCAGGTGCTGCTTTGAACGGAAACACTCACACAAGGATCAGGAAACTCGATACCATTTCTTCGTACGAGATTTCTAACCGCTCGGATATCAGGCGGTAGAAGAAGAAAGACTGAGCTGTACATGCCCTCTATGCCAGCTTGACACGGTATTTGCAAAACTCAGAGAGCCAACCGCGCCCTGGAACAAAGCGAGCCGCTGATGACAATCCCTAGGGTCCTGCCAGCAAGCCTCTCAGTCACACAGAGATATGTCTGCGGCCTGACGACTTGACGTAAGAATTCTTCTTTCTCGCCCTGCCCCAAATCACAACAACCACGACACAAGCCGCGCATAAGCCGAGCCAAATTGCAAACAGGGGCTCTATCAGATCACCATTTCGTTCTGTCGAAGCGCACTTCTTCAGTATTGCCCCACTTTCCTCCAGTACAACCGGTTTGCAAGCCGCCAGGCCAGGCCAGCCCTCTTGCAGCGGATCATAAGGAAAGAACACCGAAAACAAACGCGACATTCTCACGACCAATCGCTAGGTAAGAGCGCCAGACCAGATGACAACGTTCTCGCAACCAACCGCCGCTAAATTGCGTACATTAAGTACCAGGAAGAACAACAACAGTTCCAAGTACTCTCTGAGTCTGAGCTAGTTGTTTCATTAAAATGCCAGAAACAGACGACAACAGGCCCGGTACTCACCAGTACAGCTTGGTGAGGTGCCAGCAGTCCTCCTTGGACGCCCCCAGGCTCGCCAGCCCGATGCTATACGCCATGTCCGCAAACGCGGGGTCGGCCAGCATAGGCACGTGCCCGAGCAGCTCGTGGCAGATGTCCGGTTCCGGGGTGTACATGGGGTTGCTTCCGTGGCGGATGTACTGCGTCGAGTGGAAGGTGCGGAACGCGAGGCCGTTCAGGAAGTCGCGGGGGTGCAGGAGGCCGGCAACGGGGCGGATGGTCCACCCGGTGCGCTGCTGAAGGACCTCCGACATGTCCTGCGGGGGATTTAGGAAACTTGACACTTGGTCTTATGGAACTGGTAAAGAGCTGGTGTTCATCACACTAAGAAAGCTCATGAGGAGCTGCATTTTGAAAGAGGTGAAGAAATTTCGAGTCTGCGTCCATATGTATCGGCAGGCCTGAATGATCTCGTTTGTAGTTTAGAAAAGCTCCGACGTTGGTAGGAACAACTTCGATCCAATTCTCCTTCGGTTCCGGCAAGGAAAAGCGAGTCCTGTCCGGAACATCTCGAGACCCGTAGACAAGCACTTTGACCTTCCGGAAACGATTCTCCCAGATTGTTGCTCACCTGCAGCTGCGGGACTCTGTCAGGCCTGAAGTTGAAGAGCGAGAACGTATCCAGGAACTGTTTACACGCGAAATCGGGGTACAGCTTCTCCAGCTTGGTCAGTACCTCGCCCCACACAGCCGTTTCCGCTGGAGTGTACTCAACATAAGGAACCGGCTGACCCCTGCAACTCACAAAACTCGCGTCAATTTTGTCGGAAGAGTTGTCTGAACATGCTCGGTAACTGTCTTTTTGCGTTTTGACTTGGAGCACGCTTTTCGGAGTTGCCACAAAGGCAGAGTTTTGTGTTAGAGCACGCTTTGTAGAGGTGCTACGAAGGCAGGAATCACGGGGGGTCACTCAAAAGAGATCACTCAGAAGAAACTGGTTTCACCGAGAATCTTGAATCGACCAACTACACATGACAAGAGGTGAGGGAGAACAGAGACCATGCCTCTCTCATGATACGCTGGAGTTTGAGCTGGATGTTTGGGCCTCTTCCCCGTCGATCCTGAAACATTCGATATTGACACCAGGATCGGCTCGTTAGGGCAGGCAACAGGTTTGCTTAGTTGTCACGCAACAGTAGGACTCAAAGCTTTCCTTGCTGCCTAACCACAAAGCGACATACTTTTGGCATCGATCTTCGTATCAGCCTTGTAACGTTGCCTCGCACTCTGTCCAACACAGGAGGGCACTCGACTCCACTTACGGCACATGCTGCTTTGCTAGTTCCACAATCTGCATCCGCCTCCGCTTGTACTCCTCATCATTGTAGCCCTGCAAACGTACGGCGACCCATATTAACAGAAAGCTCGGATTGCATACTGATCACCACCCCAACAAGCCTGAAAACAACCCGAACAATCCTCTACACATCTCATCAAACAAGCATAACAACTCAGAATGAGGCGCCGACGTTCTCCTCAATCCATAAAAGCTCAGAGGCCATCAAAAGCAGAACAAAAGCAGCTGACTTACGACATGAGAACTGCCCAGACCAACCATAACTCCTCAACTTGGTGTACTGGGTCCGCTCCAAGACAAGACCAATCAGCAAGACCTTGAATCTTTAGGCTTTTTGTAACAACCAACTCATCAAGGACCCACAACCAGGTGCACAAAAGACGGCTACTTATCAAACAATCAAGTACTCCAGACATGGTCAGAGTGTCGACCAACAAAAGCAGCTGACTTACCGGATGATCCGCAGAAAGATTTGCCCCAAAGCCCAGAATGTTTTCACCGTTGCTGATCTCATTTATGCTCTTGGGTATCCTTGTGCTGGACCAAGCATCCGCCTTGGAAGCCTCTTTTTCAGGGCTTGGGGCAGGAGGAGCTGTAGAACAAGACAAGCCACCTTCAGGTTGATAATTTGAATATGGTATTTAAAGGAAAGTTGGCAGCTGCAACATAATACTGAGTGCCTCATGTGTTAACACTGAAACTGCTGGAAGGATGCTTGAGCTGGACCAGAAAAGAAACAGGTGAGAGAAGGGAACAGGATTATACAGCATGTGAAAGCAAGACATGCTGGTCAAAGCCTTGATGCATGTCAATCCTCAACGCCAGATCAAGAGTCAACCAGGTCAACAAGGGGTCAAAGACGGAGGCTACGAAACAGCCCCTTTGACCTTGAGCCTGTACAATGACACTGAGCCTGCTCTTGGACTTTGCTAACAAACTCAAACCACGAAGCAGCCAGCAAGTTTGTATCTCAATATCGCCTGCACACGCAAACCCTAATTTTCAACCTAGGAAGGACCTCCTCTGGAGACTAGCCTTGTGCTGCTTGATGAGCATCCCTACCTGCAGTCAATGCCCTGGCAGCCGTTGATGCTCGCTGTTGCCAGCACACCTCTCTAGCATGACTATGAAACCTAGGTCTCCAGTCGTCACATGACTTGAGACCAAAAAGCAACCCTGGATGATTCTCAAGGAGCGCCGGCCTCCTCAACTCCTTCATGCAAGCATGCACAGGGCTGCTGCATACTGCTTGTTGTCGATAAGAGACCGGCCCTTGCAAAGCCAGTGTCCGAGACAGGCCGGATAAGCAAAAGGTTGGTTCTAGACACGACGTGCCTGCCATCATAACGTTTTGTGCAACCCCTTGTGCTACGGGCACAACACTTCAAACCGAGGGCGCCTGCTTTGATCAAACCACAATTCAAAAAGGAAGAACAAAAGCCCAGATGTTTTTGACAGTTTTAAGAGATCAGGGACCAGCCTTGCGGGAAGCCGCCATTTTTGCACCACTGCTGCATGCCCCACTGCACACCCGGACCGTCACGCGGGAGCCTGGGACTCGGAGGATGATCCTGCTTGCACAAGTTGACCTTGCAGGGGCTCACCATCAGTTCAATGGCATAAAATGTACGGCCCAGATTCCGCGCGCGTGCCGAACGGCATATCAACGGCGTCAATAGCAGCCGGCACGTCTCACTGCGGAAGAGAACCGTCAATGTGCCGGTACTTTCGACCATGTACCGCAGAGGAATCCTAGACCGGGACCCCCTGCTGGATGTGTAGCGCGGAAGTAAATCGGTCCGGGTGCCGAGGGTGTCGATTTAGGGCCCGGGGCGGTCGAGGGGGTTAGCAGTCTGACCCGTCTCACGAAAAATACCGCCGGACCGCCGGCCGAATATGTACTATCGAGTGGACCGTTCTGGAAGCCTGCCAACAGAGCACCCGACCACGTAAGCAGGCTACCGGCCGTCCGAAAAGGTCTGCCAACAGAGCACCCGACCACGTAAGCAGGCTGTCGGGCGTCCGAGCTGCGGCCCGGAAATCAGGGTACAAAAGGTCAGATATTCGCTCATTTCTTTCATTTCCAACTGGCCCTCTTCCGCATCCGAGTATTTTTCGACCTATTTAGCACTCTACCAGAGACAACCATCGCTAACCAGCAAGCAGTCCGGCCACCCCTCTTGACATCTTGAGGGAGCTCGGGGAACATGCAATCAACCCCAGGATTCAGTCTGGCCCGACTGAACATTTCCAGTCAGAGGGAGGTTAGCTGTGGCAACATTATTGTAGATCCACAAGCCTACGGAGCCGACCCCGCCAATTCACTAGCTACCAAGTGCCCGCTTTGCAAACAAACACTTGTGACAAAGGACTACCAACTCACATTCCGGAAAAACCATGCACTGAAGGGCTTTGCAATCAGCTCACCCGAATCGGTTGCCAAGGGTCAGAAAAAGCGCTGGCCTCTTTGTCTTGAGTGCGTAAAGCGGCATTTTGGTCCTGTCACCCAGTGTGCTGCCAAGCTCACAATTAGCGTAGCAAGGACCAACCGGAACTCGGTGGGTTCAGCTGAAGTCTGGTTCCAGCGCGAGAGACTAGGGGGGGCATGGAGCCAAGTGAAAGAGGTGTCCGGGGGCGAGATTGGCAAACTGCGAGAGAAGGCAGAGGAGGAACGGCCAGGCGGGCGCCGCAGGACTACTGCAGCGCAAGCAGCGGTGAACAGAGGCCGAAAAGTGGGGGAGACGGCAATGTCCAGCGCGCAAGTGGAGGTAAGCAGGAATGCAAATCTTCCATCCCTAGTAGTCTCTGCATCTGCTTGTGAATGTTTGATTGAGCACTATCCGTATGCTTTTTTACAGCCTAGAAAATGCTGCGTAATTGATCCAAGTGTGCACAACAAGGAAAACCATATAGGAATAGAAGAAAAGTCGAAGATCTTATGCTGATGGATCACACCGCGGCTAATCGGAGCTTTAGGGAGCGCTTACAAGTCTTCCACCATTTGCGGCACGTCTAACTATGTTTCTAATGTGGATGCAGGGGCAACTTCACTTAGAGAACGGCGAACCGTCCGACGCGGAGGGTTGTCGGACCATCCTCGACCAAGCTGTGATGTATCTCGATGGCCTCCGATCAGGAGAGTGCGCTCTTTACAGGGTTGGCGAGCCTGGATCCGCTAGTCCTGTCTACCTGGCTAGCACTTGGAATCACAACGCCGCCAGATCCAAACCTCTCGGGCGCCCTAGCAAAGTGCGCGCATTGCTTGAGACGGTGCATCGGGACACGATGGGAAACCTGAGCTGCACTTGCGATTGCGGCCGACGGTATTCCCAGGCGCCGTGCGTGCACAAGCTTGTGCTACAGGCGTTGGAGCCGCCGGGGCTAGCGAGCGCCATATCGCTGCAGAGGGGGGCGAGAGTGGTGGAAATTCCATGTGACAGGATCGGGGAGCGGGTTTTCGGGGTGTACTGGAATGCAGGTTCGCCCTCACCTCAGAGGACGATGGTCCACCATGGAGAGGGGGCGCAGATGGGCTGGTATTGCGAGGGGAGGAAGAGCGGATGCAGTAAGACGTCTGACTGCTTGCACATTCAAAGGGTGAGGGGAGCTTTGAGTCGACCGGGCGGTGTGGACAAACTGAGCAAGTGTTCGTTCTCGGATGGGCAGCTTGAGCTTGCAAAAGCATCTTTGAAGGACGGGCTGGGGGAGAGCCGAGGTGGTAACGGCATAGTGCGCAACGGGCTGTATGCACCCGATGCCGATGTGGACGTCTATGTGGAGGAGCTGGTCGTTGGCAGTCACGAGAGGGCTGCATGCAAAGGGTCAAGCTGCTTCTGCAAGCAGCATCCGAGGGTGTTCGGCGGCGACGCTGAGGTGGCCGTGGAGCCTTGCGCAGCGAGATGCTGCACGTCTGCACAAACGAACGGAAAGAGGGTTCGATCGAGGCAAGGAGAAAGCTCCGATGGCGTCGGGGAGGCGAACAAACGCAGAGGCAAATCGTTTTGGGTGGCAAAAGGTACAAAAACGGAGGAGCCGGACGCTGCAACGGGCAGCACGGGGGAGGTCGAGTCGGATGCAGTTGAGGAGGGGGAGCGAAGAACGGATAGTGCCCCCCAAGTCAAGGACCGGAATGCGTTCTTAATCCCGGTGTGTAACATCTGCGTGTGCCCTTCAAACGTGTGCAAACATGGTGCCGCTCGGGGCGTTGCGACGGTGTTGCCCATGGAAGCTGAGGGCGTGCAGCTGGAGGTGCCCAAGCTCGTTCGCCCGACGGATGCCTGGCAGGTCCACGATCCCGAGGTGTCGCTGTTGCGGAGGCCCGTTCGAGTCAGCGAGCTCATGGCCCGAGATTTCGAAGAGCTGAGCGCAGCAAAGAGTCTCTCCGCACCGTGCCCGCGACGGCCACCCCCTTGCAAGACCCACTGGTCGGGGTTGTGGCAGAGTGCACAGATATACGACCTGTATTGGTCGCAAGAGGTAAGTTCACCATCGTGCATGCCTGTAATTGACCCTCTTGCAAAGATTGATTGAGTGGCACAACGTCCTACAAACAGATGAGGACAATAAGAGGAAGATCAGTCAAGAGAGATGCTTGACGCAGATCAAACCCTTGTGATCTTTAGTTCTGATTGCGAGTGAGTCAACCTAGAGCTCATAGCCCTGTTCCAATTAAAGCTGCCAATCATCGGACGGCACCTTGGTCTTTTGTATTTGTGCAGGTCAAGCTCCGGATCTACTGCTGCGCATGCCCCGAGAAGCATACCGTTCACTTCAACGGGGAGGCGCTCGGATTGTACGCATGGACGCGCGGAGTGGTGGTTACGCAAGTTGCCTGTCAGATCCTGCTGCGGTCCGTTCAGAAGTCGGGAGCTGCTTTCAGCTCGCTCGTTGCAGCTGGCAATACGGTGCGGCGTCAATACAACCCCGATGCGACCACCTTGTCGGATGAGTGTTGGCGTAAGGCGAGCCTTGGCTTCTTCAAGCTGTGCGGGCGGCAGATCATGGAGTGCTGCTCTCTGTGCGGGCCACATCCGGAGGTATGTTCTGCAACACTTGACGTCCACGTCCGCAATCCATGAAGGCACTTGGTGCTCCCAACCACCATCAAAATTCTTACGCACCTTACCTTATGACTTTATCGTCAAATGTCATCAAGTGTTGCCATATCTCGGCGTGTCAAAGTCTCCAACTTTTCGGGGTCGCTTGTCGTTAACGTCATCCGAGGGAGACCTCATCTTGGCGTGTCCAAGTGTCCAAGGTCTAGCACAAATATTATGCGATCGCTCGTTGCTGACTGTCATCACTGCGCAAGCTGGTCTTGCTGCCGTGTCCAAGTGTCCAAGGTCTAGCACAAACTTTTTGCGGTAGCTCGTTGCTGACGTCATCACTGCGCAGGCTGGTCTTGCTGTCGTGTCCAAGTGTCCAAGGTCTAGCACAAACTTTTTGCGGTCACTCGTTGCTGACGTCATCGGAGGAAGACCCCGTCTCGGCGTGTCCAAGTGTCCAAGGTCTAGCTCAAACTTTTCACGGTCGCTCGTTGTTGACGTCATCAGAGGAAGGGCAACCAAGAATCATGACATTTGCCCTTTCAAAAACAATGCGTTGTCTTTTTGCGTAGGTCCTTCTGTGCGATGGCATCGCGGGGCTTGCTTGCGCTGACGGCACGCGCCAGAAGGGTGGGCTTGCCGGAACAGATGCAGCCTTGCTTCGTCCGTTCACGGCTCCAAGTCAAGGCTCCGATGGAGTCAGCGTGCGGAAAGTCATGGTGGCTGGAAGCCACTACCTGGCGGCGTCTCTTGCGGGAGGGGGCCTGAAAAAGCGTCTCCTGCATCAGCCCGAGCTCCGGACGCTTCGAGCGCGATTCAGCGGACACCATGCTGCTGACCCCGAGCTGGGAAAGACGCCAAGTGCACGAGAGTACGAGGAGCTCCTGGTAAGTTTTGGTTTAGATTCAAGCATGCCCATCATGAGCAGTCTGTCTTTCCGACGCCGTGAGTTTGTCAACGACTCTTTGAACGTTCAAACCATGCAAGCAAACGGACAAGAATCAATAGTCCTTCATGCTCTGCCCTGACCAGGCGTCTTTTGTGCAGGTCGCGCTTGAAAGAGACGACGTGCAGGTTGTCGTGGACTTTGTCCAAGATCCGGATGATGCGGATGCCGACCCCGTTCTCTTGCACTGGCGTCGACGGATCCCGAGCCATCAAGTCGGCCAGATACGATCAAAGAACACGGCGGTGTGCGAGCTTCTCAAGGGCGTCCAGGCAGAAGCATTGCAAGACGGGGCCCGATGGCCTCCGCACTGCCCCAACAGATGGGCGGAATTGCTCTACACCCTCGGGGCGCCGTTTCCGGTCTCGGACGACTCCAACCTCATCCAGCATGGGAAGGCCCTGGGAGTGGTCCGCAAGCTTCTGCTAGGGAGAGCCGCAAACGACGACGACAGGGTCGTGCTGGCCGAGCATTCCCCAATCCTGCGCCGGTTACTAGACCACTACGGTGACCACTTTCCCCGGTATTTCCATCCCGCGCTACACCACCTGTATCGGTTGACGCTGTTTGCACGGGGAGCGATGGGGCTTGGGGTTGGACGGGCGGGGTGGGCGTTGTCGGCCATCGAAGGCCTCGATGTCTGCGTGTGGCTGGAGCGGGAGCCAAAACCCCTGAGCTTCGAGCAGCAGCAAGCCTTCGACTTCTGGGCGGCCCGGGCGAATGCTCTTCTCCCAAGGGTCGAAAGCCTGTCCCCTCCAGATCCGCACGAGTACGCCCTCCTTCCGCCGGAGCGGATGTTGTTGAACGAGCGGCTCGGTCTCGAGGCGGACGGATCGGAGCCTGGACCCCTTCCTCCGGACCATCCCTATTGTCGTGAGCAACGAGAGCTAGGCTGCTACCCGCTTCCAGGGTGGGAGCAAAAACGCCCCCTGCCGCAATATGAACCGTTTGAAGACGACCTCGGTAGGTCTCGCGAGCGCGACGAGGAGCACCGGTGTCGGAGCGGGCTCACCGTCGGTGAATTCGATGCCAAGGTTGCTCTGGAAAGCGGGTTAAAGAAGAACAAGCGCCTCCAACGGCACACGAAGGGCGGCTTCGTCTTCTGCTGTACGCACCGCGTAATATACGGGTTCCACGTCATGCTCCGCGGAGAGTCGCCGCGAGATCCTTTCACCGTCCTCTACACCCGACTCAATCGGAGAGATCTTCCTCTGGTCCTCGTACACGACAACGCTTGCAAGCTGCGCGCCTACGCGATGCGGAGAGAGCCGGCGTTCTTTGCGGACGTTCGGTTCCTGGTCGATAGGTAGGGTCCGAAGATTTGCGCAAGCCAAGGGGCGGCTCTTGTTGAGAGCAATTCTGGTGATACTCCGTGCCGTTGCCATGCAGCATTGCGACTTTCTTCAGCTGGGCACTATTGTACCTTTTAGATTCTCATTTCGTGCTTGATCCTAACAGATTCCACTTCCACCACACAACCGCCGAGGCACACAAGTGTGGTCCATCATACAACACAGGTGAGGCCCTGATGCATTTGCAAGGCACATGTGCTCTGACTCGGCTCGAAAGGGCCGCCCATCCACAGTGTGTATGCAAAGAAGCGGGTTAAAAGTGACTCAGTCAAAAATGCCCTCTCTCTTCTGTAGAATAGGGAGGCAAGTTCTGACTGCCTTTCAAGAGTGCATGTCTATGCAGCATTCTTCTATAATGCCATGTCTCAAGGCTTTCCTGGGATGAACTAATTCAATCCCCGTATTACGTGCAGACTACTACGACTCTGTGCGATGGGTCAATACGTCGGCAGTGGAGTCGTGCAACGCGTTTCTTGTCACCTTCAAGACGCAAGCGTGGTATAGTAGCCTCGTAGCGTTCATGGTCATCCTCGCTAACCTGATCAGCGGACGGAATAGCGATCTCCCACGAGTTGACGCACCAAAGCTGCGCATTGCGGGCAGAGCAGACACATGGAGCCCGTCTGTACGGCACCGACTCTTGATGTACTAAAAACACTGTTGAAATAAAGACACCGATCAAAAGGTTACCATGACTTGTACGTTTCATCATATACTGCATGCATGTTCCAACAGCATCGATGTGCATAATGTATGGTCGTTATCATTAGAAGAAGCTATACCACTTCGGTGCAACGTGAAAGGTACTTGTGCTAGTGGCATGATCGTGCCTAGAAGGGGGC